CGATCGACTCCGTTGTTGAGCATTTGACCATATATTTTGATAGAACTATAAATGTCTTGAGAAGTAGCATAGGTGTAGTCATAATCTACTCGAGTAGTAAATAATATCCTATAGCCATTCAAATTTGATTGAATGTACAAATAATAAGGCTGAATATGAGACTTGTATCTACTAGTTAGAAGCTAGTTTAGAAAAGAAGATAAAAAAGCTTGATGTACATAAAGATTCAATGTTAATAATTTATTAAGTCAAAGATGAGTGGCAAACCATAAATGAAATTTTGAAGCCCTATCCGATACATCTAACCAAGTTGGCTAAAGAATTCGATGGAATAAAGTTTAACCACTTAAGTCGAGATAAAAATCAATTTGCTAATGCTCTCGTAACCTTGGCATTTATGACTCAACTTAACTACGTGGTAAGGATACAACCTATCCGCATTGAAGTTAGAAACTTAATGGTATATTATTGGTTAATAGATGAAGAGGTGGATGGAAAACCTTGGTATCATGGCATTAAGTTATTCGAGCAGGAATCAAGAATATCCACCAAGTACTACAAAAATATATAGTCAAAATTTAAGAATGACGATCATAGATTTTTACCTAGATAGTAAAGTGTTATAGAAGAGAGGTTTTGATGGTACATTAATCGGATGTCCGGATGAGTTAGAAGCTCAAAAAGCTATTGAGGAGATCCATAAAGGAATTTACACCATATATTCTAATGGACATACTATGACCTAACATATACAATGAACGGTATTTTTAGACAACCATGAAAAGAAACTATATAGAGTATGTTCGAAGGAGTCGGGAGTGCTAGTTTATAGAGATAGGATCGATTCTCTTCCAAGCACCTTTGCATAATATGGTATGTCCTTGGTCTTTTACAAAGTAGGGTTTAAACGTTATTGGACCTATCAATCCAAAAGCAAGCAATGACTATCATTTTATTTTGATTGTAATAGATTACTTCACTAAGTGGGTAGAAGCTACCTTTTATGCTCATGTCACTTAGAAAGTGGTCTAACAATTCATAGAAAAGAATTTGATTTGCCAATATGGTCCGCCGTAAACTCGATCACTAATAATAATGAGAATTTTAATGGAAATATAATAGTAGATCTATGCAAATATCAAGCATCTAAACTCTTTACAATATTGGCCAAAAATGAATAGTGCGATCGAAGGCTGTAAATAAGAACATCAAGAAGATTGTCTAAAAGATAGTGATCCCTTATAAGGATTGACATGATATGTTTTCATACACTTTGCATGCTTATCGTATAGTAATAAGAACATCCACAAGGACAACTTCATATTCTTTGGTCTATGGAATAGAGATGATGATGCCTTTAGAGGTTGAAATTCCATCCTTAAGAGAACTTATGGAAACTAAGTTGGAGGAAGTAGAATGGGCAAACAACTGAACATGATTAGTAAAAGGTTAGTTATAATTTTTCACGCATAGTTGTATCGGAAAAGGATGGCTCGAGCTCTATTATAAGAAGGTACATTTAAGGGAATTTCAAAAAGAAGAGCAAGCACTAAAAAAATATCGATACCAAGAGAGGATAGAAGTAAATGCTATCCTAACTACGAAGGTCCTTATATGGTTTAAAAGGTTTTCTTTAGAGGAGCACTCATCTTGGCGAATTTGGATTGAGATAGTTTATCAAAACCTATAAATTCGGACTTAGTGAAAAGTACTATGCTTGAAATATATATTTTTTCTCCACGTAATAAAGAAAAAATTCAAGCCAAACATGTGCATTACATCTTTTATTTAACCCGCCTTATTTGTTTTAAATTCTTGATCTACATAATTCATATCTAAACCTAATACCACATGATCTCATTTTAATATTATCTATAAATCAACATACAAAATACATAAGATATCATTGTAGCTTCTTGCTCAAGTTATGACGAGTCGTGTATGCCTCGATGGAAGCTCGTCTTCAATTTTGATGCCTTTGGAGAAAATTCAATTTTCACATTCATCTTCAAACAAATCGTGGATTTTCTTAACAAATCGAGTTGATTTTTTAATTAAGAAATAACGAGATATCTTTTCAAAAACGATACACGACATTCTACTTTGCCAACAATGGACGAGATAAAGTGACGAGTCATTTAAAAATGCAAACATTTTTTTTTTCAAAATTCAAAATGTATCACACAAGAATAAGAGACAATTTGTCCAAAAAACGACAACATAGCATTTTTCAACACTTGCCTAATTGAAATGGAGATGACAGTTTTGGTATCATACATAATGAGTTATGACATGTGTTTAGAACATAGGATCTATCCGGACATTATTTCGCTATATGGTTTAAGTTCAAGCAAAGCTCACTAAGAGAGGTTAAGACTTATTAAACTATGTTCGTCACTAGAATGAGAAAAGGCCATTATAATTTTATTCATGAGAAACTAGATTAGGATCACTCCCTATACTTAGAGGCAAAACATGAAGGCTATAAATGTTAAAAGACCACTAGAAAGAAAAAAAATTTATCGATCTTAAAAGAGAATCATCAAAGGAGCCTCGATAACCACAAAGATGAATGCTATCGATCAATCCACCATACAAAAAATGGATAATAAATACAAATAATCTAATAGTTCCAATACAACTCCAAAGTCGGAGTAGGATTCAAAATAAAAGAGAGAGAAGGAATCCAAAAAAGCAACGAAAGAATAGATATGTAAAGAGGGTTAAAAATAAAATTAATCGAAGGCACATGATCGGATGGATTGTTTAAAGATATTTCCTCGACATGTCAATCATGTCGGGACGTAACTCGGATCCGATGTTAAATTGACGCGACTCACAACCTTGAGAGTCGACGTTAATTTAATATGATGCCACAACAAAAAATATAAAAATTAATTTTACGTAGATGATAATTAAGCTTGTAAATAGACTTAGAAAATAAATTTAAAAAAAATGATTTTTTAAGAGATATTTGTAAGATTAGACTAATTCCAATATCTTTCGTTAGAAAGGATGTATTTAAGTGATTATTATCTTTTCAAAAGCATAACCAACTCTTTAATCAAAATCTCTAAACCTAATGTCTTTTTTAGGTTTCTAGTTATCTTTAATACTAGGTGAAGACTCCAAAAAAATTTTCTTAATTCTTTTTCTTTTGTCCAGTAAAAAAATTTAGAGGTCCACTAAATATCGGGTAATGACAAAAATTATAATCTAGAATTATATGTAATATTAATCAATAAATAGGTATGTTGAATGAAAAAAATGATACAACTTACTTTTTTATCATCTTTCTCGCTAATTCTTTTATTGTTATCATTGTAGTAATTCAAAATTGTACTCCATTTTTGTATTGATATTAATGAAGTGATTTAGTGAGAATTGTGGGCTTTCAAGATTAAAAAGCGTAAGCCTGTAGGACTAGTGAGGTGGGCTGATAGGGAATTTATGTATCTACTCTATACGCCCTTGGGCAATTTCGACCAAAATAGGCTCTAACATTCTCTTGTAGCCCATTCTATGGAAGTCCATAAATTTTTTTTTAAAAAAAAAAAAAAAAAAAAACTCGCACACAACTTTCAAATACAGAAGCTACTGTAAAGAACCGTTAAAACCACCCACAATTGTAATTTTGGCGCCATGAGATAAATCACTCTCACTCTCTCTCTCTCTCAAAACTTCTCAGCAAGTGCCAATCTTGTAATCTTAGGCTTTATCACCATCACCTCGGACCTCACTTTTAACAACTGCTTTCTCTCCATTTGTATTTAGTGCCACCTCCTACGCTCACCGCTGTTCCATGAAATTCCTGAATCAAACTCATTTCTCTGAACCTTATTGATTAATGGGTTGGTTGAAATCAGTCGATATGAAAATGTGTTTTCTTTGTTCATATCTGTAGAGAGTCTGTTGTAACTTTGAATTTTACTATTGCTTTTGTGCTTAAGGCTTTAGCTGGGCTAAGGAGAGGGAAAGATGGGACGGTGGTATATATGTAGGATTTTGTTGAATTGAGTTTTTGGATTTGATTCGATTCTTCAATAGGCGTTAGTGATCGATTTGTTAATGAGGATTGGAGAAATGGGTTTTGTGAGACAGGCGTTTGATGAGTTGGAAAAAATAGTGAAAGAGTTTACCTTGGACGGCATATATAATATGGATGGAAGAGAAGAATGTGATTTCTTGGAATAGTTTGATTTAGGGATATGGTGGAGGCAAGGGTTCTTTTTGATTGAATGCCTATGAAAGGCTTGGCATTATTTGAATGTGATAGTTTTTCTGCTTGGAATATTTTAGAAATTATGCTAATTTGTGATGTTGTGGCTTGGATTTCAATGGTTTCGGGGTTCTGTAAAAGAGAAGGGTTTGGAAACTGCAGAAGAATTGTTTGACAGGATGCTAAAAATGGCAGCCTCATAATTCTTTGGACTTGTATGAGTTCTTGAGGAATACGGTATTAAGCTGAATGCGACTTTTATATTGGGAATCGTACGAGCTTGTTCCCGGTGGTTATCAGTTTGATAGATATTTATGCAAAAAGTAGAAGCGTAGAATTTGCTGTGAAAGCTTTTAAAAAAGGTCTATAAGAAAGATTGTTCAGTACAATGATCACTGCCTTTGCAAATCAAGGATTGGGTATCTGTTTAGATGAAAAGGAAAATAAAGAACTTGATATAGTTTCTTTCTAGTGGTTTTGACTGCTTGTAACCTTGGGAGCCTTGTGAATGAGGGAGGAGGTTTTTCAACCAAATGGCTGATGATCATGGAATTCGATCAGTGTAATGCCTATGTTGTTGACCTTCTTAGTCATGCTGGGTGCCTTGAATAAGCATATAACCTTGTTAGTAGCATACCAGTCGCACCTACTGCAATTGTGTCGGGTGCTATGCTTGCCTCTTGTAGGGTTCATCACAAGATTCACTTGATTAAATTATACTCTTTTGTCTGATTTCTATGCAGCTTCTGGAAGATGAGATCATGTTGCTAAAGTGAAAACAATGATCAGGGAGAACCGAGCTAGAAAGAATAGAAGTTCCGGCCAATTGAGTTGGGAAGTGTTGTCTTTGAGTTTGTATGGGAGATGCTTCTCATTTTGTCTCAGAGAAGATCTGCTTTACCTTAGACTTTCTCAGCGAAGTATGAAGGTTTTTGATATATTATGGAAATCCATAAGGGAAGTGTTTCTTCCCTACACTATGTGCCCTTCTAATATGTACTCCTGTAGCATTTTGGAAGACAGATAATCAGAATGAAGTGCAGAGGCAAGAACGCAAATTTTTCAGCATAGTACTGCCTAGATTCATCTACACAGTTCCTCATATAAAACCAGGCTATCTAAAATGATGATTCTGCTAGTAAGAGTCCTTTTTACTCTTCAAACAATGTAAGGATGACCTTTCATTTGATATGGTAGATTAACACAAAAGTGGCAAGTAGCTCTTAAAATGAACTTAATTTTAACCTTTTCCGTTGCTAAGGTGGCTGAGTCTTTTCAAGGATCAAGCACCAGGAAATCTTACTTTGTCCAATGAACAGTAAGATTTATTACCTATTTGGGAAAATTCTCATCTTTTTCGTGGATACTTTAAAATGTTTTACATATTTGTGTTTCAAAATTTTTATTTAATATGGGACTGCTTGCAATAATTTTGTGATGAGAACCCGTTTAAGTCCATATATCCTAGGTATCCTCCAGAATTGGTTTCAAAATGAAGTGTATATGTAGATAAATTGGTTTTTTTCAATGAGCTTTGGTCTATACCTTTTGATGAATGCGATCCTGCACAAATCCAAATGGCAAAAGTTGGGTAGGTGAAAGGAACTGCTTTTAATGCGTTATCTAGCCAGATTGAATGTTAGCATCGCAAGGATATCAACTGAGTAATGATCTGTAGGCGTGTGTGGAACTCGCCACCAACAAGTGCTAACAGCACTGAGGCCTGATATCTTATTTAGAATAAAGCAAAAAAACTGATCTAAAAAAGGAAAAATTGAGATATATAGAAGTATTAATATGTGGCTAGATGCTTCCCATCTTGCCATGGCCAATAGCGAAGACTGTTTTAGGTGACGGCTACGCTCAAGTTCCCTGACTGTTTTAGGTTACGGCCATGCTGAAGTTCCCTGATGTGAAACTGGGCCTAGAGGAGCCTTGCTATTGGTCTATGTTATGTCTTATATATACATGTTTAAAGTTTAAACAGTAGCTTAGTGAAAATAAAATAAAATAATAAAATATCAGGAACCTTTTTTGAATGAGAAGGAAGATTATAGTCCAATTATGACTTCCACCACTGCATTTATAGCAGTGTAGATCTAGTGACGTGATCCCTTGTAATCCTGGAGATGGTCTCCACTTTGTTTTGAGACCAAGGCTAGTTACGTCGTAGCGATTCAGGATTTATGTTCCCTAGCACTTCTGAATTCTCTCCTTTGTGCCAATAGCTTTGTTGCCAAATGCGTTTTTAGTGAAATTTGAGAAATAGGCAATCATAGATGTTGCAGCTGGTGAAAATAAAATCATTATCAGAGTGCATATGAGAAATGTAGCTTTTTGGCAAGCAACAACGTTGTTTTGCTGACAATTGTTTTTGCAACCCAAGCTATAAAAAACATGCCAATTGGGCCTTTCTATTTAGAACATAGAAGCTGTCTTTTGTTCAACCTGCTTGAGGTTCACTTAGTACAAAGCACTACCCTAAAATCGTTACCGTCCATGATGCAGATCAGTGTCCAAGATGAGGACTGGTTTTTCTTCTAGAATGTGAATCTTGACGGACATTAAGTGCAAGCTGGACTATAATGTCCCGTTATCTTCCATAATCTTTGATAACAACATCAGACTGATTTTCTGGTTTCCTGCAATTGATTCTAAACAACATGTGGACAAATATTGTATGAAATAAGGATCACTAGCTAGATTTGTGTCTGATCTTGATTTTTGAATACCCTATTTATTTATCTAGTTAGCTCTAGACGAGAAGAGTGAAAAATGATGATGTTGATATTTAATAATGGATATCGGTGTGGATCTGCAAAAAGTTGCCTTCTAAGTCTTATATTCGAAGACAAATTCAATGAACCTGTACAGTATAAATCTCGTGGAATGCTGTATCTATAGTTTTTTAATGGAAAGTGAAATTAGTTGAAAAAATAAAGTATTAAAAGCATAAATGTGTTGCATGGAAGACATAAATAAATGATGAATTTATAGATTTCTTCATCTTATGAGCCAGAAAATTGTAAAGATGTGTTTGCTTTATAGCATGTGGTTCCCAATTGATCACCTTTTTCCAAAAGCATATTAGACAAAATAATCTTTACCAAGCTCCAAAAATTCTCTCCATGCTCGATAAGATTTCCTGAACCAAACTATAGTAGTGATAGCGCACATGACACAACCAAACAATTTTATAACATGTATAGTGATTAAAGATTTTTTTAGGTAGCCATATCCTGAAAAGTAATTTTTCAAAAATGCACATTAAATCAATAATAATTACTCAAAACCTCGTCTTCCGATCGAACACAGATTGGATGCCTTTTGAATACCTCTGCGTACACAGAATCATGTTCCTACATGACCAACATTTTCACTTCTGAAAACTCTGCAACGATTCCTTGGATTAATTAGTCCACATTGATTTTAGAAGATAGCTATCTTGAATAGGAATCTAATTTAGTAGTAGCTGCTTAATTTCCCAGACAAGCTACAGTTTCCTGCTACATCTGACGTCTGACTACTGACCATCATCAGTCTCTATCTCTCTCTCACACACACGCACAGTACTTAATCACGTATCATGTGACATGTGCAGATTTCTGGTCTTCACTGTTCCCAACCACTTGCTTTTGTTGTCAACTAGCTATGCTGAAGAAAACTAAAAGTGTTAAAGATGGGCATCTTTATTAGCTGAAAGTTGATACGTTTGAAGCAACCTTTGCTTTTCCTTTACTTTCTTATTGTGGGAACACCTTGTTCTTCTTAGTTTTCACACACATCCTGAAGCCCTAGTCCTCTTAAGGATCCCCTAAAGCTCCGAATGCCATGTAGAGTTTGCTGATGAGTACATAAGACCATACACGTGAATTGAAGCTTCCTATATTTTCATTTTTTGTGTTCTGTTCTCTATGTCTTTTATGTATCGGGCAGACCTTTTCTTTGGATGTCAGCTGGATTGCATCGAATGCTTTTTGGACCTCACTGTTGGTAGTTAAGTTTAAGATTATGTTAAGTTGGATTGATAATAAACTAAGAGAATATCTGACATCTCCTTATATATATTGAAAGCTATTTGAAATTTATCTTCGATCAATTTTCATTTTGATGCTTAACCATTAGAGATTACTTTTGATCATTTTTTTTTATTTGGTTTGTGGAAATAAGGGGAGAAATTTTTTTCCTTTTTTTCCTTTTTTTTAATTTTAATTGAATTCTATTTTTCTTCCTAGAAATATGAAGGCAAAAAATATAAAGAAGTAAGAACCCTAGCCTTAGATTTCTTTCTCCAAAAATATTAGGTGAAATTGGGAAACTGAGAAAGATCTCATCGAAGAAGCATCTTTGAGTTCCGCTTGACAAAATTATAGCTTCCATTTGAGATATAACTATTTATATGTGCACTTGCAAAATGAAAATTACTGTTTCTTTCCTTTCCTGTAGGAATATCCCAACAATTTAAGTATTTTTCTTTTCTTTTCATGTTTCCCTTTATTCTCTCTCCCTGACTTTGAAGAACCAACCAACCACAGCCTTGAACAAACATGATCGGGTCATTCCCACTACAGGTCTAAAAGATTAAAAAGAAGAAAATAGAGAGAGGGGGGGGGGGGGGAGGGAAAAAAAACCTTGATTGGGCCCTGTTCATCTTAAGGTTTAGGTTCTTTCTTTTGTTTTTTCCACTATTTGCTGGTTTTTTCTTTATTCTTTTAGTGAAAAATCTTTTATTTAGCACCGGCTCTTTTGCATTATTTGTAAATCAAGATTCCATGAACCAAACATCATTTTATATCTTTTTCCAAAGTGTTCTTATTGATTGCATTGAATCTTTATGCTGTCTTTCAAAAAAACAAAATTTATATCAGATTTCACGGAGACCCAACTTCTTGTGGTAGAGTTTATAATCACAAATTAATGGGTGGGTTGTGTAAAGATTGGCACTCAGGGATTTGATCGAGGGTGTCCCTGATCAGATTCTAGACAAGGAATAAATATGGTAGATGTGCCTTTAAAGTTTTAAAAGATCATGCTAGACATTTCCTGAACATCCAAATCTGACTGAAAGGTGACATATTTCTCGTAGGCAATGAACCTGTTGATCCCTGAACAGGTGGACACATGCTGCATCAAAAAGTCTAAATCTGTTTCACACTGACTAGAGAACACAGAACCAGATCAATCACATCTTTTAGGTCAGGAAATTAAATGAAAATATAGTCAGAAACAATTAATTACAGGATATGTTAGAACTTGCAAACACACTTCTTGTATTTAATTAGCTTATCGTGATGTATGGAGAACACTACATGGCAAAACATGGACGGCCCTGTCTTTCCATATGTTTCTTAATTTTCTGTTTTAATTTACATAATTGCATTTGAAGCAATAATATCTTCTTGTATGCAGTTTTGGTTTGATGAGATTACAAGGACCCAACAAAATGACACCATAGGTGTCCAAACCACCAAATATCTTCTTGCCACACTCTAGGATAGAAACTGTAACTTCACTCGGATTTTTCGTGTTTCCTGTCTAAAACTGCCAGTCCCAACTGAAGGAAACTCTGTCAAGAGAGAGACCCAGATTCAGATTTGAGTTTTCTTCTTGGAGAACCCAAGCTGAAAGATTTTCTCAAGGGATGAATCTTCTCTTCTCCCTTCTCCTGTGGGTTTTTCATACACCACAGCCCAAGCCTCTTGCTTCTGATCCTTTCATGATTCTCAATTTCTTGCAGGATGACAAAAACATACTGCAAAAAAAAAAAAAAAAAAACTTGTGAGAAAATTGAGTACATAATATATAGAAACAGATCCAAATTAATTATCTTAGAGAAAGAGGGAGAGGCGTGCAGAACTTACTCCCAGGGAACATCTCCAACCAGCATCAAGTCACCATCTTTGTCCTCATAAGTAGGTGCATATTCTGATCCTTTGTAGCCTTCCCTCTCAGAGTACTCGCCTGGCATAGTTACAGATATCACCATCAGAACCACAATAATACTAGTCAAACATAAACAAACACCACGTATATAATAAAAACAACATAAAGCACATGCTTATATATTTATCAAAATATTTTTACCTATGGTGAGCTTGAACATGTTCTCTAAAGCCTTTAGGAGTTCAGGGTATCCATTGTAAACCTTAAGGTCAATCTTTCTAAGGTATGGTGCTCCATCCATGCTGACTTTAACGTACATCCCAGCTGCAGCCTCGGCCTCAGCCTTCTTCGGCTGCAGGTTGTTTTTCCTGTAGGATCGGATTGGTGGCCAGCCTACTATCTGTGCCCTGCATGTCGCATGTACATCCAATGAATAAGTGCTACAATACATCATAAAAAATTGAAAAAAGAAGAATGAATCGATCTACAAAAAACAAAATCAAGACTCGAACATAAAAATAAAAACAGAAAACTTCTCGATCACTTACTTGGGAGCAGTGGCAGTTCCTTGGTCATCATGTGGAGCATCAGATTTGCCTTTTGCTCTACACTCCTCGCTGGTCTCCTTCAATGGACGTTTGTTGTTTCTAGCACCAGATACTGCTTGTTCTTCTTTAGTACAGTCCGTCCCTGGCAACCCCAATCTAAGCTCGGTTGCCTTGAGGTTTAGATCATTCTCATACGCAACACCACCTTCCATGTTTTCCAGCAATCTTTGTTCGCACACAGAACTGTAAAGAGATGATGTAGACAAGACTTGAAGATTGTTCTTGTGATTTCCTTTGATATGTAGATGAGAAATGATTCTTGAGAGAAATGGCAGCAAGTATATTTTGTTTGCGAGGGGATGGATGTGCGAACGGAAACAAGTGTATTTCATATATAAAAGGAAGAGGTTGAAAAAATTGCCTAGTTATTCTCTTCAAATGCATGAATTATGGACAAAGGCAAGCTAAGCCTGTCGGTAGCAATTGCAGCACCTTTGAGGCAACTTGTCCATGCATTCAGGGGACAAGAGTGGGACAAGCACAGCCGCCCATGTGGAAGACTTTTGAGAGCAAATTGTAAGTGGGGACGGTCAAGATGAGTTTTGGGGGGTTGTGGGAGGGAAATCAGGAGCGTTGGTTCCTTCAGAGGAAAAGATGAGAAAACATCTCCACGTGGGCGATGGGGTCCGCATGGCTAGGTCGGTATGGGCATGTTATGGCCATGTGGGACTGGAATGGGGCCATTCAGTTTTGAATTCGATTAAAATGGGTTGTTGCCTACATGACATGTGGACATGGTCAGCCATCCTCCTATCAATGCCCAACAAAAAATTAGTAGTATATATCTATATATATATATTTTTTTTAATGATTGATTATTTGAGTGATTAACCAAAAGAATATAAGAAACTTGACCAACTAACTGAAAATTCAATATTCTTGACAGGGTCTAATTATAATTAGTTGAACTATCTCAAAGTCTAAAGCTGCTCGTTCATTTATTGATGTTTAATTTGACCGAAATTGGTACGTACGATCATACCATACCATGATGTAATTATTAGTTAATCTTTTCAGAACAAGCAGCATAAACAACATCATTTATTGGGATTTATTAATCTTTAAATGCAGTTAAACTCTGTTTGCTTATCAACGTTCACTTTCTTTTCAATATTGCCAACTATGACGTATGTGTTCAACGAGAACTAACGGTTAACTTCTTTCTAATGATGGATTTTTCGTAGCTAAACAAAGGTGATGGCGATTTTAAACATCGCAAACAAAGCTAATTAAAGAGTGGAGAATTCAAGGGTGCAGAATAATCGCACCTTGCCCGTTTGGGCTCAGAGGGGTGAGTCCCACTTGGTCCATTGGTCTGAGTCCGTGCATAGGATGCTAATTTCCAAGCAGTGAAACTCTACAGAGATCATCAACATCAGGGTCCACTCCTGCTGCAGCAACACCCGTGCGCCTTGAAAAGTTGCTCAATAATTATCGTCTTGTTTTTTGTACACCCTCGGCAAATAATATTTGGTGAAACGTCATGGGAAACTCTTGTATCTATCTGTTTGAAACATTTTACTATCTTCTTCTCACCAGAAGTCATTGTCTTCTTCAAATTATTATTATTATTATTATTTTATCAGTAAATACTATCCTGTGCATTGCAGCAGGTGTATGTCGGCAAAGAAAATGCTCCTGTACAAGTGGATATTTTGAAGGAACAAAGTTTTCAAAATGGAAGCTGTATGAAAAATGCAAATAATCATTCTAATAATCTGCATTTCTTAGGACAAGTTTTAATTTTTTTTTATTTTATTTTACTAAATTCAAGTATATATGTGTGCTTTGCTAATTAAAAACACATAATAGCCATAGATAAGCATTTTATTTATTATTTGTCAAGAAACGAAGTTTCCACAATTTAAGTAGCCAATCTGAATACACATGTAGATTTCTAAATGTAATGAAAGCAAAATCTTCATAGCTATTTCTTGCTCTATTTTACTGAGTTCTTGAATTCCATTGATATCCACACACATATAAAACAAAGTCAAACGTTCGGAGAAGTTACAAGTTGGGGTGATACCATGTGGAAACAGCAATTGTTTGCCAGTGTTTTGTGTCATTTATGAATTTATTACAACAAAACAGTACTGCATTCACTTTTACGATATGGATTCATTTATTTGAACAGAAACGTTGCATCTAGATAGGTTAGAAATTTCAAGTACAAATTAATGACAGTTTTATCTAGACAATTTATTTTGAATTCAAAGCACATTCATGATTAAAAATAAAACTAACAAAATTCAAAGCACATTCAAGTTTCTCAACTATTACATATATTCAAATTTTGACCAAAAAAGCGACATGGAAGCTACGCTACAGAAGATTCCTCCGACATACATAATTTATTGGTGATGGAAAAGTATTGCAATATGGTTTAAAATGAGTGAGGCGTTCTAAATTTTGTTTCCAACATAAATACAGAGGAACCTCCACAATATGCACATAAATGTGCGTGAAAATTGTAAATTGTGATGTTACCTTCTTATGTCTAGCTTACATCCACGTTCTTTTAACCACCTGAATAAGAAGAAGAAGAGGAAATCAATCCTTACAGGATGACTGATGACGACAAAACATTGAAGGAGATGCTGGATTTACAGCTCATATTTTTTAAAAAATAATGGCTAAACAAATTAAGTGAAGATTAAAAAGAAACAGTAACCTCTAAGCAAGAGTGGAGGCGCCTCAAACTTTGTAAACTTATCACCGAATTTGTTTTTTCTTTATCTACCAAATGTTTTGACCATTATTAATAGGTGGGAAGGCGTGTGATTTTCAAATAGAAAAAAACACAAAATCTGAGAGGTTTTTTTTTAAATGTGGCAGTGGATGTACAATCAGCTTTAAAATTGAATTTTGGGTATAAAAATTACAATTATATTATTCTATTAATTTTCTCTTGTTATAACCCAAAATTTTCCCTTTTTATTTTATTTTTTTCTTGTTTTCATTTTATTTTATTTTTACTTTATTTTCATTATTAGAATTAAGCCAAAAAAAAAAAAACACAAAAAACATTAAAAAAAATTAATTGTAAGGACATAATTGAATCAAATAAAATTACAATTAAAGTAATTGGAGGTATAATTGAAGCAATTGGGAACTGTAAGATTAAATTAAAAATACATGAACATAATTGAAAAAAAAATTAAAACCTACGGGGACCTAATCAAACATTGGGGTAGACGACATGACCAATTCAAGATAAACTCGCACGACCCGTCGTCCAGGTACTTCCAAGCTTTGGCAAAGGCGTGCTAGCACCCAATCCTCCGGTCATTGTTGATCTCCATCAATGGCCAAAGGGACAAAAATCCTGCAACCAAAGAAACAAACCCTAGGCCTTACTACAAGCCCTTGCAACCCATAAAATCCCGCCAATAAAGGGACAAACCCCCTGCAAGCTCTCTTCCAAACCTCTTGCAACAAAGCATGTCAACCTTGCAATCCAAACTTCCCGCACCATTCTACATCCAAACCTACCGCCATTCGTGAACAAAATCTTACAACCAAGCTTCTACAAAAGACCACTTGCAATCCACTAAAACACATATGATGTGAACCCGATAACTTGATGGCTAGAGAACGCACGAACAAGAAGAAAAAATCTCGGAAAGCCAAATTAGATTAGAAGGATATGGATGTCACACTCCAAAAAGGTAGAAGAGGAATGATAAGTTACTCGAATGTAACAAGAATTGATTTTAGATTCTTGATAAGTTCGAAATTAGTTCAAAAAGAACTTAGTGTGAATTTTCTCGCAAGTATTGATTTGATTCAAAGATTGATTAAACTAAATAATGCATAATGTTTTTACCCAAATAGGTTCTTTGGAAAATCGGAAAGACAAATATGAATTAAATTGCATATGATATATAACAAGAATATTGGATCACTATAAATCCTTAAATAAGTCTCCTTGAAATTGATAGAAAAATCCTTGAATTTGGTAACCATTAGTGTAGTCTAAATCTTGATGAATGCCGACTTAAAAAGAGATGTAAACTTCTAACTTTGGAATGACTTGAAAGTGGATTGATTCGGTGGCTTTAGCATTGCTAATCTTGGCCCAAAATGTCGAGCTATCTGAATCAAGCCAACCCAAAAGCTTGGATCAAATTCATAAGGTCCATCCGATGATCTTCAAGTCTAATGAAGGATAATTCGACACAACTAAGTTAAATAAGCCCATTTAAGGACTCGTGGATCTTTTTGGCCCTCGCCCTTATGATTGGACCTATTGGAATGGCCATTGGTTCATTCTTTTCAAGATCAAGCCTCGGCCGGATTGTGTATCAATAATTAAAAACCACATCCAAAATGTTGCCCGACGATTAGATCATTCGTCCCAACACTCAACAACTTCAATTCTAATTATGGATCAATAATTTTTAGCCCAAATATTTTTTTTCACTCCTCTCCAAGCCTATATCCTTGTTGGTCGGCTCATTGAGTAGCCCGTATTCTAAACGACCCATTGAACATTGAGTAGTTCATATAATTCAACCTCCTAGCTCTCATCATTCCCTCACTCTTCAAAATGACACGTCCTCGAATCTTCATCCTTATGCCAAATTCATGCCTTGATAAGCTGAGTAGTAGTATCAAACCATGTAAATGTAACAAACTTTGAGCATGAACAACTCTAGAAAAGTCTTTAAACAATAGCACACCAACATGTGCATGCCACTTTGTCTTCACTAATAAGAACAACTCTCTTGCTAGAAGTCATAAAACTCTCGACATTAATAAAGTCAAAAACATAAACTTTATTTACGAGCATAGCCATAATCGGCGATAACCAAAACAATATCACAACTCTTAGTTTCAACCAAACTAGCATCACCCTTGGTTAACTCTTTATTAATAGTAACATAGTCATCATCATGACCAAAAATTTGAGTTCTCTCAACATCCACAAAATAAGTCTCATTAACATCTTCTCCCTTTTCTCTTATTTTTCTTCTAGTATCAACCTTTTTTCTCATTTTTTTCTTTACTCATTCGATCCTCAAATACTTGCTTAGGTGACAATAGAACAAGTGTTACTTTTTATCTCTCCATTTTAAATAAATGTTTATTCCTAAACTCATCATGTCAATTTTCTAACAACTTGCCAAGATTTTCTTAGCAAACTATGACCCACACTTATCGACATAACATAACCAAAAACCTCATCTTTGTATCTCTCAATAGAAAAAGGCGTTATCGCTTGTTTGTTTACCTCGATTTTTTCACACTCATTTACCCATTACAATGCATATGGCCTAGGATGTTCAACTACGAGCAAACTCAAATGTTTGAGTGACTCAAGACTAATAAAATTGAAACAACCACCCCCATATATTATCATACAACAAAACTTATTATTGAGATTAAAGTGGATATGAAAAATATTATCTCTTTATGCCTCCTCACTTTTCACTTGTTTGCTCAAAGTGCTCATACTTACTAGTGACTCACTATAAACATCATCATCGACAATCATTTCACCCTTTCCCTTAACATTTTTATCTTTTGACATGTTTAAACTAGCACAAAATTCATTAATAATAAAAATTCCTCACAAACACCCCATCACATGTTTCACTCAAATTGATGACACTCAACGTTTGCGTTTGTTTGCTTTTTAACTTTTTCTTAAAATGAACTCATAAACTCTACCCTTTTACCACTCTAACTCACTTCTTTGGTATTTTCACAAACTAATTCAAACCACACAACAACTAATCAATTGCAAGTGATAAATACGTGCCTAACAACTTCACTTTTCAATAATTAGATTTAAGAAAAATTTGGAATAAGCAATTGACAAACCAATTCAAACAAGAATTTTAAGTTTTTGAACAATAACAATGATAATAGAAGTTAAATGAATTGAATTTTTTTAAAAAAAGATACAAGTTGATTATTTTAGAAAGAAACTAATCATAATTAATAAGCACATAATTTATTGTTTAGCTACACACGATAAACAAACTTTAAAGCTACTCGATTTGAACGAATTTAACAATGATAACAAGTTAAAAACAAATAATTTAGCACACAAATGAATATTTTAGCTACCGATTAAGGCAACCAAGCTGATTTTTTTAAACTCCTAATCTGCCACTACCTCTTCTTTTTTTTTAATGTCATTTTTTTAAAATAGTAGAATACCTTAATAACTCTTTTTTTTTTTTTTTTTTTGTAGCCTTAGGACGTTTTCAATTTAGTGTCATGGTTTCTTTTAGATTTGGAACAAGAAGAAAATTTTAGAATTGGAGAAAAAGATTAGAATTAGATTAACAAGACAAATAATGATTTAGACAAACTAGATGGAAACGAATCAAATTAGACTTTTTTTTTTAAATTAAAACAGACTCAATTTGAACTAAAAAAAAACTACAAAGATATGAAATAAAACAAAATAATGAAAATAAAAGAACCTAATTTAGAAGCAAGCTCTAATACCAACTAAACCGAACCAACCTAGCTCGGTGCTTAGAGAACCCATGAACAAAAAAGGAAAATCCTAGAAAGCCAAATTAGATTAGAAGAATATGGACACCACACTCTAGAAAGGTAGAAGGAGAGTGATAAGTCACTCGAACACCACTAAAATCAGTTTTAGATTCTTGATAAGTTCGAAATCGGTCTAGAAAGAACTTAGGTATGAATTTTCTCACAAAGGTCGATTTGATTCAAAGATTGATTAAACCAAATGATACATAATGTTTTGACCTAAATAGGTTGCTGAGGAATCAAAAAGACAAAGATGAATTAAATTACAAAGGATCTATAACCAAAATATTGGATCACTACAAAGCCTTGAAAAAATCTCCTTGAAATCAATAGAAAACTCCTTGATTTTAACGGCCATTAGTATGGTTCGAATCTTGATAAATGTCGGCTTAAAAAGAGATGTAAAATTCGACTTCGAATGACTTGGAAGTGGATTTATTCAATAGCTTTGGCATTGCTAATCATAGCCCAAGATATCAAGAAAAAATGGTTCGATCGGATTGGACTTCAAGTCCGAACAATTCGACCTAAAAGCTTGGATCATATTCATAAGGCTCATCCGATGATCGTCAAGTCCATTGATGGGAATTTGGCCCACCTAAGTTAAATAAGCCCATTTAAGGACTCATAAATCTTCTTAGCCCTAGCCACTTGTGATTGGGCCTACTAGAATGGCTAATGATTCGGTTTTCTAAAGATCAAGCCTTCGACCAGATTATGCATTAATAATTGAAAGCTCACGGTCGAATGTTATTCAACAATTAGATCATTCGACCTAAAACTCATCAAATTCAATTTTAGTTGTGGTTCAATAATTTTTAATCCAAATACTTACTTTGACTCCTCTCCAAGCCTATATCATTATTGGCCGACCCATGTTCTAAACAACCCATTGGATATTACATAGTCCATATAATTTGGCCTCCAAATTCTTATCAACATGGCTTTTGTATTCTTTAACTCTGCCATCCTACAACTATCATTTTGCCTTCGGTAACCTCCAAAGCAAAACACACTTAAAACAAACACAATGTTAGGCAAGCCACTAGAAACAAGTTGGTTTTTAGCTTTATTTATACATAAGCCAAGAATTGCCATTAAGGCAATATAGAGGAGGAATCCTTCTTTCAATGTAAATAAGAGGACAAAAATAATTAAGGGAAAATGAGGTAATTTTAGGGAATTCAAAGACAATTGAGGAGAGTTAGAGAGGCAATTAGGTTTAGGAATGGTCTAGTTTTGTTAAGGAAAACAAAAACACAACGAAATAATTAAAGAGAGAAAACATTGAGGAAGATAGAAACAATTGAGAGGGATAATTGAGAGGCCTATTAGACGTAAAAAAATTACAAAATAAGAGACTTAGGTTGCTTATCAAACTAATGAAAGAAGAAGATACTAGGGTTAACATCATCAAACCATCGTACGTAGCTCCTAGGTTCAAAATGACTTTTTTCACCATTTGAAGCGGTCATTGCCTACTACCATAGCACTTCATCACTCAAGTTCTCTCTAACAAACATCCGGGTAAGAATTCTCTTTCAATGTTTACTTTAATGAACTTTTGATAGCTCTAAAACAAATGATAGTAGTGATATTCATCACGACATTCCACAAAAATACCTAAACAGAGTTATATGAGGCATCAATAATTTTATAGACATAGGGTCAAATCAATTTTAGGCCACCCTTTAAGTCATTAACATTCAACTATCATATAACATGCTTTTAGGCATATCATAGATTCAACTTAGTTAGAGTCGTGGCATTTGTTTCAAAGACTCAAGTACGTGGCCAATGGAAAACTAGTCATTGTAATAGTATAAGAAGCACTACCATTGTTGAATAATATATTAGCACCATATATCGAAGCCGAGGGATGTCAAAATGGCAATCTACATACATTCGAGATTGTAAATACGAGTTGGTACCTAAAAATGCTATATTTAGAAAACCCAAAATACCTAGAACTATAAAAATAACGGCCAAGTATCTAATAAAATATAAATTTCC